TGTGAAAGTCTATAGTTTCTCCATAATATATGTGCACTCAAGCTGTATTAATTTATTCTACAATTACTTTTATTTTTTAGCATTTTTATTTGGCTCTTACACTAAATAATTAATGGTGTTTACATGGAAAGGTTGTTTATGTAAATGGCCTAAGTGGATTACCAAGCAAGTCTTAAAACAAATAAACATTTTTCTTCTTTTAAAACTTTCTCCACTCTCATCTGAATGTTTGGCACAAGAGCAGAGATTTTTAAATGTCCAAGGGGATATAGAAATCAAGCTTCTGAGGTCCACTCTCCCCTGGTGAGATGGGTTTATAATTCTGTTTCCTGTAACGGTTGGCCTGAGGGGAGTCAACAGTGACCCCACTGACCCAACACATCCCAGACTCAGAAGCCCATCTTTTCTTTGGGAGGTTGCCACTGTTTTTCTCCATGACCTTAAACATAACAAAATATCTGGCCCTTGGAGATCATTTCCTGCAGGGTTTGCAGTACTGAGGATGAGAGACTCATCAGATAAACAATGACATGCACACTAAAGACCAGAAAAACACCAAGAAAGAAAATCTACCAGGCTGCTGAATACCTCCACCATAACCATTACATCACCCAGTTGTGCCAATTACTGAGATTGTCCCTCCTACTCAAAGTTCAGACCGCATGTTCTATGAACGGCAGCACAGGGCCACTTACAGTAGAAACAAAGCTGGTATGACAGTCACTACCTGCCAAGACATACATTATTTTTCTAAGGCATTCTAAAGGGAATGCATTGACATCAAAGGCTGTCTTCTCATTGCTGCTCTCCCAGAGGCAAAGCCAAAGGGGCAGGTGGGAAGCTGCCTGGCTCCACACCCACATGCCCAGCCCTTCAGAAGCCTTAGGAGGGAAGCTTGGCTCCAGGTTGTCTCTGGAAGAACAGGTAATGTGTCCTCTAAAGTACCATGGAGTTAACTCCAGAGTTGCAGACTAGCTTGTACCAGCAGGCTTTCTCTAGAACAGACTGGCCTCAGAGCTAACCACTGAAAAGATTGACCCAAATGAGTTCTGAACTAACATTCTAGAATAGAGATCCCTGCACTAATCTTATCCAGATTGCCAGGGGATAGCCTCGAATTGGAGTCCAGACATGGGTGATGACGGGTCATACGCCTATGACAAGAATGAATAAAGCACTGTCATAAGACCTTGATATTCTCCAAACACTCTTCCTTTCATATTACTTGAAACGTATTAGCAAGTGTACAGATCCCACATTTAATAACTTTGCTGTTAAAGGAATTTTATAGTTTTGCTTTTGAAATTATTTGGCTAAAGTAATTAACTTAAAATATACTGTGATTTCTTGACACTTGTAACATATTTTCAGAAACTCTCGCTCAGTGAAGGCATCTCATCTAAAAACTGTTTTCCAACATAATGAGGTTGTTATGAATGCAAAACCCATCCATTAATGAAGCTAACACAGTGTTCGATTTTGTGACGATTTAATAAATGTTTATTAATTTTGCTTGGGTTGTCCTTTACTATTTTGAAGACAATCATTTTTTCTGGTCAGACTCCAGATACTTTTCCAAGCAAAGTGGAACCAACTTTTCCTATGCCTAGCACTGTGAGTCCTGAACCTAGAGCCTAAACTGGTTGTCTGGCCCATGGCCTACTGTGAGTTCTCAGGGATTCAGGTATTTCACAGCACTCTGCCCTCAACCAAAGCAACAACATAGAGGCTCCAAGGTTTGTGCCATCACTTAACAACTCAAGGAATTCTTCCAATTAAACTCACAGAACAAAAATTTGTGAATTTTTGACTCTTCATAAAAGTTTACCTATAACCAATGGTAAAAACCTTCTTTGTTGGCCTTGGGTGAATTAATTCTCCTTTAGTGGGTAAAATCAGGTTTCATGAATCCAACTTATTTTATGAAGCTTCATTGTTCAATGGCAAATGGGATTTGAAAGCTGATCTGGAATTACATTTCTAGGAAACTTTTCTATCACTCCATGAAATATAAGTTATGCATATTCTACTCAGGTGTTTATACCTAGACCCAGGATGACTTCTTTAAAGATATTCTATGAGCAACTATTAGGTAAAGTGCACTTTATCGATTGACGAGGTTTTTTTCTTCCAAAACTTTAGGTATTATTAGAGTGTTTCAACTCAACAATGACCATAGATAGACTGTTGACAGTCATGAAATCCCCTCTTTTCACTATCAGCAAATGCTACAGTGCTAAAGTGAGAATCTGAAAGTTCTACTTTGTAAATGTGTCCTGTAGCAATATCACATAATCATAATCGCAATGGTTTAAGAGATACATTGCTGACCTAGGTTTGCTCTGTGTCGTTTTTTAAAGTTAGAGTACACATTGACTGTATAGTGGTAAGCACCTGCATACTAGCATCCAATGGAATGAGGTGGAATTCCAACTCTGTCCTTTTCTAACTATGAAAAGCTATTAAGCCTCCATTTCTTCATCTGTAAATTGGTACTAATAATACTTAATAAGAATGTTCTCAGGCTTAACAAACTAAGGAGGGTAAAGCTTTTGGTGAGCAATCAATATATGTTAGCTTTGAGTATTAGTAGTTATGATCCATCATTTCCTATTTATATTACCATCACTCAAGCCACCACACCTGGAGCCTGCACTACTTGAGAACTTCCTGACTTCCCCACCTGCCTATCCTAACCCTTCTCATCTCCTTCCCAAAACGGAGGGATCCTTTCAGAATAGAAAACCAATCAATTCAATCCTCTTCCCACATAAGACAGAAATCCCCCCAGTCACTTTTAGCACCTAGGCCCTGCTAACCACGCCCAGCCTGTTTCCCCCTCTCTCCACCATTCCCTCCATGCCACAGCCACACAGGCCAGTTTTCCGTGTGTGAGGCCCCTGTGCTCCGTCCGGCCCATCATTCCCTCAGCCTGGAGGGCTGTGTCCCTGTCCTACGCTCTCCCTTCACATCCAGCCCAAACTAGATCACACTCACATTATTTTCAAAAATCCATATTCCTTCCCTTCAGGGCCCTTAGCGTCAGAAATGCCTGACCCTAAAGGATAATTTCCTAGTGTCCGCCCTTCCTACACAATCTTATTTGGAAATGGTAGAGCTGGCAGTTTTTGCTCATCCCATTCCCCATAACCTACTCAGCCAGGACCCTGCAGAGGGTAGCAGGAGCCGCACTGACGAATGATGCACGCAGAGGGGTTAAACTGGCCGGCAGCACATGGTCTCAAGAAGTGGGCTCTTACCCCTGAGGCTCGTAATTACATGTTCCCAACACGCAGGGTCACTTTCTGTAGCCTTTCTGTTGGGGGGCAGGGGAAGGTTACAGTTTGGCCCTGTTTTTGACGTCACTCTGCTCACAAACAGCCGCCCCAGAGCGGCGGGACAGCCCAGGAGCTCAGGGCGAGCGGCGGGCCCGGGGCGGAAGTGCGGGAGGCGGCGGCGGAAGTGCGGGCGGCGGAAG